CGTCCTCTTTTGTGATTTGTGTATGAAATAATTCCTTAAATGACGTCTCTTAATTCATGTTAATTCGCATTTTCAATTTTCAAATGCTTCTAAATCAAAAGATATGGATTAAAATCATTACTTTTGATTAGTTTCCTGTTAATAAAAACGTTATCTTAAAGGAGTCCTTATWCTTTGACAAAACAAGAGTTCAGACAATCGTCTATAATATACACTGTATACCTCATCAAAAGTGGCTGTTCCTTTTCTCTCSAGTATATCACAAACCAGTTTCCCATAAGTGCGAAGACCTGTATGACCGCTCATGACTGTGCAAGGAGTGAATTTGACTTTGTGGAATTCAACTTGAATCAAAGTAAAATAATGAGTAAGTTCACGAACGCAGAATGTGAATGACGTTTTGTTTTTGCAATCACAACGCTCGAGCTAATGAGACGTTTTCCTTCCTGAATGTCTTGATTTATAAAAATAACAGCGATACCAGTTTCAAGCAGAGTTAATATAAGCTTCGATTATACCCCCACATGTAATGTGGCTGATCACGAACTCATGGGTACACGCTAGAMTACCTGATTTTCGAATTTTGCTTTATTTTCGAAAATAATCGCTGGCATCAAAGTATTCGCGATTTCCTTGCTATTGTAGCCTATTGCTTTGTAATAATCGCTCCTTAGTCTAATTTGAAGGAAGAAGCGGTATTCCAAAACCTCTTCACGTTATACATAATTACATTTTAATGATCGCTTAGACTGAGATTAATAGCCTATTCGATCGGCCCGTCGCATGAATTTCATCATCTTTATTCAGTATTTCTTAAACTCAAAAACAAACATACCAGTGTCTATGAACACAAACTCCTATCAGGTTTTCAAATAAATTGATGGAGATATAGATAAAAAAAATCTACTAAAAACGTTAGTCCAATGGGAACATTGTGTTTCTGAAATTAATGCATGAATTGGTCCTAAACATATTATTGATCCAGTCTTAAAATGATACATATGTTTTTTTATATGGTATAAGCAATGTACCCAAATGTTTCAAKGTTAATACTAAAGAACATCACATGGGCGCGCGGAGATACGCATTTTTTCTCATCGAGTGTCGAACGAAAGATTTTCAACACGAGAAGATAAATTCGTATCTCCAAGCGACCATGTAAGCAGATTTTGTATGAGTGAAAAGGTAGTCATCACGAAACGCYACCGTCAAGAAAACGCGCCTGGTATTGATATTATACGTAATCCGCTTTATGTTAAAAGTTGTACATAGATATGTTGAACATTTGGTCCGGATAGTGATGTTAAATTATAAGTGTATCAAAGGATTTGTGTTTGGTTTTTTTTTTTGTTTTTTTTGTAATATGTTGACATCTGAYATTCTTATACTAGCTTTGATAGGAAAACGTGTCACTGGTAAGAGACCTTACAAAAGCTGATTGATTTGAATTACCTCGATACCGACATCGTGGGTAAACATTTTCATACGTAATATTTGATATATTTTACAGGCGGCTACAATGACTTCGCACCAGTAATTGAAATATCTGAATGTTTTAAAACATTGGATTAAAAAATAAATAAAAATATCAGAAAATTGTTTCCAGAATGACCAGTTTGTCAATCCAACAGATCAGCGTATAAAGTGGCAAAAAAACTAAAAAAAAAATGTATTTGGCCTGGGAAAAAACAAAAAGCTATAAACACCAAATAGTTTTTAATATCGAATCCTAACAAAATCCTTATACATGAACAAGAATTTATTTTCATTGAAGTTGATGGCTTAGCAGAGGCCAGTTGTGTATTTTTGTTGTTGTTGTTGTCGTTGTTGTTGTTGTAAAAAGGAGAAGAAACTCATTGTTTGATCATTGTAGAAACTACATGCTCAATAAATAATTGAATGTGAATTTGGACTCTTGTCGAAAATAGYATTACGTCAAAAACGATCACTAAAAATAGAAAACAAAGCTTGTACATTAATGAAAAAAAATTGAAAATTTTGAAAATAATGAACATTTGATGGGGTTTTATAAGTCTCTCTCGAATCTCTCGCAGTCAGACTCGGCTGCTTTCGTGACGTTTATTTGCAAAATTTCGTCGTCGCTCGAGATAAACAGCTAGAGAGACTTGAAGTATGGGAGTATGCCCGCAGGGCTTAATTAATAATTGGAAATTAATCTTGAATTAAAGAGCTACTTGGACGAAAATTGCGAAACATTAGAAAAGACTTGGAAATCAAATAGACCTATCCATATGGGTCTAATACTCATGAAGCAACAGATTTCAAGAAAATATTGATACAAATCCTTAATAATTTGGGCAAAAAATGTTGGAGTAGATGACGTCATTTACTCAATCCTTTTGTTCTTCCATCTTTTGAATCAAAATTTCTCTGATGTGGGATAATTCCCAAACAAATATTTTCCCGTAATTGTTTTTAATAGATATATATGAGTCATATATTTGTATTGCTTGAAGTTCTGAAATAAGACCATTTTCATGCAAGTAGCACTCTAACCATGCTAGGAAAATATGAGATATAACAAATAACGATAACAAACTGATTCAATGATATAATTAGACAATCGTTCTTACCATTGAGGCGTTGGTTAAGAGTTTGAGCCAGAGGCGAGATTGAAAGATTCCGAAGATCAAATTTAACTTGTAAGATGCAAGCTGTATTTAAAGGCTATAAAATCACAGGACAGCAAGGATTATATCCTCCTGCCAATCAATGTGTGCGATGTGCTCCTGTAATTGCATGTTTGACCTCTCATTATCTCGTCTAATAAGTCATTAAGAATACCCTTAGTTTATCCCCACCATAAACATGTAATTAGTAACTGTAGTCCACACACGTTCATCTAACTCTTTAGGAATGGATATTAACAGGAGGATCAAATGGGATCTGTTATGACTGCTGGCTGGGACATAAGAACAGATATATTTCTCCCAGGAAGCCGTCGGCTCCTCCTAATGTTAAAGCAATGCTTGCTTAATATTGTTGGGTAGTAGCGAGATGTATACATGGGATAAGGGATCAGTGCCATTTTGGGTTCAAACTTGTCGCTATTGTTTGGATCAAGGACCAGAAATCGGGGACCTGTCGAAGCTTTATCTTATATCAAACTAGACGCTCAAAAGCGTTTACATGGGCTTCCTGTAGCAATGACGACTGGACGGCAAAGTTCCAGTTTTAAAAATTCCAGTTTTATAAATGTTTACATTACAGACATCAACAGTTGGCAGTTAGCAACGTTATACGAAAGGTTTCAACAATGTTTACACTGATCAACGTTGGAAAGTGCAATGATTTGTAAGCTTACATAAAGTCCATAAGAATGTTATTAAATCATTTTTTTATAAGAACTGATAAAATAATCAAAACACATAAACATATTAAAATTGTCAATAGAAGAAATAATTGAAAGTATTGATTTACTAAACTGAACTATTAACGAYATGGAATATCGAAATATAAATCCAATAGCGGCTTTCTTGTTCAATTCTCCGTGAATTCCTTGCTCATGAAGATTCTTGAATTCCATAGCATCAGATGTCTTCGTTTCAGCATTGGTAGAGTCAGTTTTCATGTCAGCTATTACACCCGATTTCAAATGAGTGCGAACTCTCGATTTTTTTTTTAACCTCTTCATTTTAATCAGTAAACTAGTAAAATCAACAAAAAACAGCCAACGAACACTAAAAGCGATTTAAAGTGCGCGCTTGTCAGTGTTTGTCACGCTATTTATTTTTCAACTGTTTCGCTGCAATTGTGAGCTGAGAAAGTTAAGTTAAACCGAAACTAGTTTTTACAATAAGTTCGTTTTGTAGTGCGATCACAAACCGTAGGAATTTAGCCCACAGACATACATTAACCATGGTTTTTATACTTGTATAAATTAACCCGCTTCAAGCTGTGCCAGGTTACCAAGTGGTCGAGTGAATGACGGTCGAGTGAAAGTTTAGCGTCCGAAAAAAAATTCGAGAGTTCGCACTCATTTGAAATCGGGTGTAACGTTCCGTTAGTTTTTAGGTAGCTTGGAGTGATATTTGGAACGTCGAACTAGTTAAAAACGGGTCAGTTAGATAAATCTTGAAAGGACTCGTTCGAAGTACGCCTCTTAGCATGTAATTTTTTCGACATCTTCATCGTTCGTAGTTCGATCGATCAACCATGTGACAACTATTGTTTTGGGATCCCTGTGGTTCAATCGC